TCATTCTATTCCTAAGTTAGATGATATGTTAGACGAATTACATGGTGCATGCATATTTAATAAATTTGATCTCAAAAGTGGTAGTCATCAAATTAGGATGAGGGAAGGATATGAATGGAAAACTATTTTTAAAAATAAATATGGATTGTATGAGTGGTTAGTTAGCCATTTGGACTTACTAATGCAACTAGTACATTTATGCGATGCTGAATCATGTTTTGCGTGCATCATAGGAAAATTCATAATGGTTTACTTCGATGATATCTTGATTTATAGTAAAGACTTAAATGAGCATATAAGACATTTACGATGTGTACTCATGGTCTTAAAATAAGAACAACTTTATGCCGACTTTAAAAAGTGTACATTTTGCAGGAAAAGTTGTCTTTCTTGGATATGTGGTTAGTGTAAAAGGGATAGAAATAGATGAGAAGAAAATCAAGGCTATTAAGGAATGGCCAACACTTAAAATCATAACTAAAGTAATAAGCTTTCATGGTTTAGCTAGTTTCTATATGCATTTTGTAAAGACTTTAGCACAATTGTCACACCACTCACGAAAATTATAAATAAAAGTGTAGGATTTCACTAGGACGTTGAACAAAAATGTGCATTTAACACTATTAAAGATAGGTTGCATAGGGCACTGATTTTAAAGCTTTCGAACTTTAACAAAATTTTTGAGATTGAATGTGATGCCTCATGGATAGGAAGTGGAGCTGTTTCAATGAGATTGAAATTCTATAGCTTGCTTCAGTGAAAACCTAATTGGGACAGCTCTCAATTATCCTACATATGACAAGGAATTGTATACACTTGTTTGAGTTTTGGAGACATGGCAGCACTACTTATGGCCAAAGGAGTTCGTGATTCACACCGATCACGAGTCCTTAAAGTATTTGAGAGGTCAAGGTAAGCTAAAAAAAGGTATGCAAGATGGATGGAGTTCACTGAGAAGAAGGTCGAAGTGGTGAAATCACCCCATGAAAAGGTAATGATGCAAATTGAAAAGAAAAATAAGCATTATGCATCGTAAGCAAACAAGGGCGGTGATTGGATTTGGGTACACTTGTGAAAAAAACGCTTTCCAAAACAAAGGAAATCAAAGTTGCAGCCACGAGGAGATGGTCCATTTCAAATTATTGAAAGGATTAATGATAATGCTTACAAATTAAATTTTCCTGGTGAGTATAATGTTTCCTCTACCCTCATTGTGTCAGATCTCTCTCTTTGATGCGGGTACAGATTCGAGATCGAATCGTTTCGAAAAGAGAGGGAATGATGTGATCCATGAAATAAAGGCAACGAATACAAGTCCGAACAATGATCCGTTGATGGTTGAAGAAGGTCCAATGACTCGAACGTGAGTAAAGCGGGTCAAAAAGGCGATGTGATCACTTGCTCAAGCCATAGTGGACGAAACATTGATCAATGCGAGCAAATCAACAAATTTCATGTTAGGCTCGGGAGTCAAAATAAGTTAGGTCAATGTTATTCAAGCATTAGACGGAGGACATGTTGAATTACACTATGCAATTGCATAGTGTAATATTGCATATGGTCACATGCGGTCAATTAGAAAATCACAGTGGCCATTTGAGTTGGTCTATGCACTTACTCTATGTGGCTGCATAGAGTAAAACTGTAGCGAATTGTTCCAATTTCGCGAAAAGTTTCTTAATTATGTCAAAATTCAATTTTTTTAGTATCTTTTGTAATTTTGAGGACTTTTATTTCGTGTCAACTAAGTTTTTATGAGTTTCCTATAAATAGGACATATTATTTCATTGTAAACCATTTTTATCATATATTCAATTGAGAGACAAAATCTTTCATTTTATTTTTCATTGAACTAATTTATTGAACTTATCAAGATTTAGTTTTTGTGGCGTTCAAATATTTCAGGTGAGATTCTCAAGTCTTGTGATTAAAAGGTCAACACATTGTGGTTGATTTGTTGGTTGCTTGGTTTAATATTTTTTGAATCAATCTCAAAACTATGGTTTATTGGCTATCTTGGGCCGTGATTCAATCTCGTATGAGTTTCATAACTTCAATTGCTACGTGGACTCACATCAAAATGTTTGTTATCTACCCATTTAATAATATTTGCCATGTAAAAATTTCAAGTATGAAAAATGAGTCCAATTACTTACTTACAAGGTTCGATTTGCTGATAGTATTAGTCTAATATAAAAAGACTATTTCATAGTTTTAAATATGACAAAGATTTTGTAGTTGAATGTGTGAAGAAATATTGGTACCAATGCTTAACCCTTTTGCTCCTTTTTATTTTTGCCAATTAAATAGCTTTTAATGACAAAATTAAAGCAAATACATTTTTTAGTTTCAGTAAATGTCAATTGCCAATTTAATTTTCTTCTTTATTTTTCTTTAATTTTTCAAAACATAGTTATCATGTTGATTCGATCATTTACCTAAACAAATTATCAGGTCAACAAATTAGTGGTCCAACCAGTGAACCAAGGATTTAACCGCTAGGATATTGAAAGGTCAAAATTTAGTTTTAAAAAAAAAATTAAAAAGGAAGAGAGAATATATCTATTACTTGATAAAGCTGAACATATATACTTTTGTTATACATTACATCAACATCTACCTAATCACGTAGTGGTCAAGCTTTTAACAATTTCTAAGGAAGTTACAGGTTTTAATCTTCCTATTACACCGATTTTTTAATGCCTATGATCCAAATTTTAATTATTTATTTGTACTTTTTAAAAAAATTTAGGAGTATAGTTGCAATATGTTCTTTATTTTTCATTTTTTTATTTTTCTTTTATTTAAATAAGAGGGTATATGCATCATTTTACATCTTTTAATTGAAAAATAGGATAAAAATGATGATTTTCATAATATAATATGAAAATAGAAGTGAAAATGACAAAAAGAAAGAAAGATGGAGACGTCTTGTACTATAATATTAAAAGGTAGGAATGTTTTGTGCTAATTACATTTTTAATAATATATTTGAACTCCTTTGCAATTTTTAAAAAATTTGGGAGTATAATTGCAATTTTTTCTTCAATTTTTCTTTTCTTTTTTTATTTTAATTAAATATAAGCATATATTTGTCATTTTACATTTTTTTAAGAGGTGAAAATGCCAAAGAAAGGAATGATAAAGATGTTTTGCATATTAACATTGAAAGGTAAAAATGTTTTGTGCTAATTACCTTAATGGAAAGGTTTATTTGAAATTTGTTCTATTTTAAAATATCTTCTGGTTTCTAATACTTCCCCCACCACCTTAACACATCAATTTTAAGGAGATGATAGCTTAATCCTCAATGCCTTATATTTGGTGACTACCGGTATGTTAAGTTAGATGACATCTATTCCGTGNTTTTAAGGAGATGATAGCTTAATCCTCAATGCCTTATATTTGGTGACTACCGGTATGTTAAGTTAGATGACATCTATTCCGTGCTTGCTACTCATCAAGCTACTAGCAACGAAGAGGAAACACAATATGTTGTTACGATAAAAGCTTGATTCGGGGCGTCAACATAAGACCGCTTTGCCTATTTCCTATTTTATTATGGCGGTTATATTTTTGTGATGCAAATGCATGAAGCGATGTGAATATGCTAGTTTCAAATCGATTGATTAATAACTTCTATCTTTTTCTAAAAAATCGAAAGAGATAGAGACAAATTCCCTATCTTTATCTATTGATGGGACAACTATCTTTTCATGATCCATCAAAAAAGAAAGAAATCAATATGTATATGATAGTGTCTACATTATACATAGATTATCCAAATGTACTTTTAGGCCAACTCAGTTCTTTTATGAATTTGTACAGTGCAATGGGTTCAATTCAAGGAGGGAAAAGTCTAAATGTAGGTCCGCTAACGCAAAGCATTCCGTTCTCTTGCTGATATTGTCCTACACAAAAAGAAAGAGCGTAGAGCTCAACCTAACTTGTAGGTCTGTTACCACATAGCAAAGAGTTGAGCTTGAACTGGCGAATGGAAGTCACTTTTGAAACCGTACTTCCTACAACTAAGATGTATCTAATCCATTTCCAACTTTTAAAATATGGGTTAAAAATCCAAATTGCCAATTGGGGACCCAATGGTAAGGCATGTTATGCTAGGAGAAATATCAATGTTTTGAAAATCGAATTGGACATGGACCCCAAAAAGAGAGAGGGTAAGATTTAGAGGGTTGAATTAGTGTCTATCAAATCGAATCGAAAATAATATAATTAAATAAAAAATTCGTATATTAATATATATGCTATTAGAACTTTATATCAAGTAAACTTTAAATTTTTAACTTCAAAAATTATTTTAATGCCCATTTCACATGAAGTAACACTAAATGGATGTACAACTAAATAAGAAATAAGACTAAGTGGGCTACGTGTTGAGTAAAGGGAAGAATATATAATTACAAAGATTTTAATACACGCTTTCAAAAACAAGAAATTTGTAAAATTCTTTCAAAAATCATGTGTACATTTGTGACCACCTAATAACAGTTCAAGGTCGCAATAATACACAATTATGTTTATGGTCACTAGTCGCATAAGGTCACAGTCATAAAAATATAAATTATGACTCAAAATCATACATATTATTTATTAGTAACAATTAAGAGCGGACATAAGGAATGGCATTGGGATCACACGACCCCCCAGCTTTTGGGTAAATGCCCTTTTTTCCTTAGTACCAGTTCGAAGTGCTCATGACATAATTTTTTTACGTTGTTATTGGCGCACGAAATGGTTTACAGTAGGAAATGTTACGGCTTGTCAAAGTAGGTCGTTCCAAGTTAATATTTCAAAAATTTCGATAACATGTTAACTTTGAAATTTTTTTGAGGAAGTACGTTAGCTGAATTCACAAACTTGTTTCAAGAACTACATCATAAATATATCCAATGGTTCAAATAGATATAAAATAGTTAAAAGGTGCATCAAACATGTGTCTTAAAAAATGACGTCCAACGTGTCCTTTTTATTAAAAAAAAAAATTCAATTATTTCATTAATATTTATTATTTTTGTGCGAAAGATTTCTCAATATAATTTACATCGTTATTATTAAAATTTATATGGGGGTATGACATCAAAATTTTTTGGAATTTTACATCCGAAAAAGTCATACCCCATGTAAATTTTCGGATGTAAATTTATATGGGGTACAATTTTATGTAAATTTTTTTAACGTAAAATTCCTCACATTTTTTTTTTACAAACTTAATTGTGCCCCTTAACTTGAAATATCTGCATATGCTACTAATCAAAATTTATTTATTTTATCAATCACATGTTATATATTGGTAACTATTTTATTGGTCACAAACACTGTTCGCCCCACTCCTCCGCCGCCACCATTGGATTTCTATACTTGGTTTTATACATAAATGGTTCGGTTCTCGGTTCTAGACCAAGAACCGAATAAGAACCGAATCTTTCTAATTTTTTTTTTATATTGAGTAAATCAAATTATTTTAATTTTAATTTTTTCTAAACAAATTAACAAATTAATGATTTCTAAATCCAAATTTTTGGCCCAATAATTTGTTTCATTTCTAATTTTTTAATTTTTGGCCCAATTACCCATTTTATTGTTTCATTTCTTAGCCAAACAAATCAAATCCACTAAATAACCCTAAGCACCTACAATAAAGTGCATAACGTTGTCTCGACTCTCGCACTTACTCTCACAGCCTATCTAATATTTCAAAACCTATACAATCGTCGGCCGACACTCTGACATCCGATCAAAGCCGTGACTTTCCCGACTGAAGCTTTGATCGTAGCGATCATTTGAACAAGATAGTTTACTAATTTCTGACATTCCAAAACTATTGAATGTATCATTAGTCGTATTTATATAACGTTGTTATAAATGTTAAAAAATTTAATTATAGTACAGAACCGAACGGAACCGAACCGATCCGAACCGAACCGAATGGAACCGAACCCGAACGGTTCCATAATTATATTTGGACCCGACGGTTCCATTTACTAGATACCCGAAAAGTTTGGTTCGGTTTGGTTCTAAAGAGAACCGAACCGAACCGACCCGCGCCCACCCCTACTTTTTAGAATATCATTCAAATTTTTCCGTAACTCTAGCACTACCTCTTCCACGGCAAGTCCGGCGGCGGCGTCGAGTGGAGCAAAGAAGTCGAAGCGAAAAAAGAAGAATCTATTTGAGGTGGTCCAGTTTTTGCCCAACTGGGGCATCGGCTATCACATGGCTAAAATCCATTGGACCGGCGTTTCGAATCAGATTACAAAAATCAATCTGTACAAAGTATATGCCTTTTTCCCTTTTAACAAATGCAAACTTATATGTTTATCTGAGTGGATAACTGTTCGATGTGTGTTTCTGTAAGAATGTGAATCTTACGGAATATTTTTGAAGTATTAGAGTCTAAGGATTTTTGTTGGGATTTTGCAGGATGGAAGGCACGGGAAAGCTTGGGGGATTGTTTACAAAGATGGTACCTTTTTTTTTCTTTCTTCTTTTTTTTTTCCGTTCAATTCTTAAATTTTTGGTTTCCATTTTGGCTCATGTTGTATGCTTTATCTGTCATTATTGCTTACATTTGGTACTGAGAAAATATTTAACATTTCTAGAGAACTGTTTGGACTTTAATCTGTAAATGTCAATACTATATTGGAAGGTGAAGTATTCTAGTTTCTTGAATTTTCTGTTGGTCCGCTACTCCCAAATAAGTTGTAGATATTGTGCAATAGTTGGTTGCCAAAGATTTGTCTGTGAATTTGTTTAGACCCACAAAAGATATAAAGAAAAACTTAGATTATCTTGTATGTGATCTCGTATGACTTCTTCTCTAGTGTAGCTAAAGCACTTCACTACACTTTCATGACCTGCAATAAGGCAAGATAAGTCTGGTGAAACTAGGATCAGAAGTGTGGAATTATACTGCCAGTTAACGGCAAAAATGCAGGACAAGTGTTCTGCTGAAATTTTATTTTTTACATTATATCAAACAGCTTGTTGCACAATTGCTGTTATAGGCTACATGGAATATTCCTGATTCTGCAATGGAAGATAATTACCAACTACAGGATGTAAAAACCATAGCACATTACTCAAAGTTTCATTTCGCAGATTAAGTAGCCCGTTGGATTCCAAGACTTGTAATCTGCCAACATAAAGTTCAAACAAAAACTCAAATATTCCACTCTGTCCTAAATTAGGCTCGAGCAAGAGTTGTAGAATGCTGCTTATTTACCGAGTTCGACATTCCATTAACTATTGTTTCCAGAATTTCATTTAAAATCATAGTCAATGTGATATAATCTTGAATGCCATAAAGAAACACTATCTTGGTTGCTAGTCTTCTCACCAACGGCTTCACCTGTACACAATAGTTATCACACTATCTACATCAGTGATCTTGAGTTCCTTTTGCTTTCATCACATTATCTGCATCAGGGATCTTAAATGCCTAAGAACCAGCAAGGTGTCTGGACCAAACAAAAAAGTCTGTCCAGTAGTTGCAATCTGCGTGACTGAAGTGGAGTTTTTAGCCATAATGTAAAGCAATAGACATATCTTAAGGCGACGGTGTTAGCATCTGGCTCAACATTTTTCACTTGTACATATCCCTTCATTCTCCACAGGATTGCTGGTATAGTCAGCCATGACAATAACTTCATTACCTTCATACTTGTGTATATGAGTAAGTAATTGAATTGTTTCCAGTCACATGGTGAGAACACCCAAATCGATTATACTCCGTTTCTTAAAATTTATGGCTGCTTGACTCTGTTGTGTATGGATTCTCAACAAATTATGTTTGTTGATGGTTTTTGCTGACAAGTACTATCCCCATAAGTAAGGCAATTGTTTCTTCCTTGGAAGCACTTGCAATTTCCTCCTACAACCTTGGTTTTGCTAAATTTATTTATATGTCCCATTTGTCTCAAAGTGAAATTTCACTCTCTTCAATATACATTAGGTACATTTTCAACTGTAATTCCTATTCTTCTGCTCATAGTAAAATGGGTGAAACAAGTGCCAAAATATTGCAAGCTAGAATAGATAGAGAACAACTTCATGCTTAAAGGGTATAGTATTAATTCTTGAAGCATCTAATATGAGGTTCAATTAACAGAGGCACACGATGTTCAGGTACTAGTTAGATAAGTGCTATTGTCAATTTGAGATGGTGATTATCTCTTTTTCCAGTACTTTGTACCTCTATGAAAAATGAAGAAAATTAGAAACAAATTTTTTATTTTTTTCCTATAGTGGAGGGGCCCACCAATCACATTTACAAATTTCTAAATACAGTTGTTATATTTATGATAAATGAGAAAAACAGGGTTTAAATCTTAAAATTTTCCATTAAATATATTTGCATTTTTTCATTTTCTATGCAAGTAAACTAGGTATAAATCTTAAAATTCTTTTTCTTCCGAAAAGACTGGTTGTGGAATGTGTGATTTGTTGTACCATTTCTATGATAATGTGCTGAGGTATTGAATAATTGTAGTTTTATGTAAAATAAGTGGGAGGAATTATGGAAGATTGCTAACCATGCATAGATACAGAACTACCTTTCTGTTTACAAATAACACAGATGAGACGCTGCCCAAGCTCTACTAGTCAGACGCATCTAATAGTGCATGACTGGTGTTATTTCTCTTGATACCTTGCTTGTAGGTGGAGAGGTGTGAACTTGCAAAATAAAAATTAAATTCAATACTTCCTTGAAAATGGTTCAGTATTACAAAAATGTAAGGGAAATACGGTATCTATCTTTAAAGTTTCCCTTAATTCATTTTTGTATTACCTCCTTTGGGTTTTCTGTTGGAACCAAACAAGGAAAAATATTTACCTAATATTTTGCTCCTTTTCATCATTGAATTCCTCGATCCAAACAAAGATAAAATGACACATATTTTATGCATTTTATTCTTCCCATTTCAGAGGGAGGAATTAAATTTTCGTATGATGAGTGCCACAGAAGGGTGATAAGAAGATAAAATAATGTTGATAAACATATCAGATGCAGAGTCTCATAAAATATTCTCAAAATGGAAGTACTGACCATGCAGTATATGAAATGTGGAAATGTGATCACATCTTTCTACTTTTTTTTATATTGTTTATTATTTATGATATGAAATATCATTGTATAACTTGGAGGTTTCTTATTCAAATGTTGCTAGTTAGTTGATACACTTGCCATAGACATCAGACTGGTGCATATCATAGTTGTTTTGTTGGACTAGGTACTCCCAGAGAATTGTTTGATTTACAGGTCAGGAAACCTTGGCAATAAGAAAGGGGGAAAAATCATGCATAGAACAGAGGAAGGCAAGTTGTGGGAACATGCATTTAGCCCTTGTTTTATCCCCATTATTTTCAAAATACATTTTTCTCTCTTTTTTTCAACCACACGTTCTTCATTAAAATAATATTACACGCAAACTCAAAACTTTTTCTTATTTTTTAAACTACACATTCTCCATCAATCTACTATTTCAAAATGCATTCTTACGATAAAATAAGGCTCAAACAGGCTCTCAGTCTTTTGACTTCTGCAATGATGAGCTGAGGCATTGAGTAAATGTTCAAGTAATATGGGTGAGAGCGTGAGACTAGTGCCAGAAATTGCAAGCTAGGAACAGATTGAGAACGACCTTTCCACTTAGAGGGAAAACGATCATCCTTTGAAGCATTTAATATGAGGTTAACTTTGTAGAGAGGCCCAACAAGCTCATGTATACATTCTAGTTAGATAAGTCTTATTGCCTGTATGAAATGACTAATATTTCTTCATTCCGTATTTTAGGAAGACAAGTAAAGGAAACTTTTAATTAGATGTACCATTTCTATGATGGTATCCTGAGGTATTGAGTGATATAAGATTCAAATCTTAATGAGGAGATAATTAATGAAACTCTCCAAATCGAAGAAAATTATTACATGAATAAGAATCCTAAATAATTCTTAATTTTTAAGCAAATCCTAAAATCTAATAGTTGAATGAAACTAAGGTATCTTACTAAGTTCCTACCCTCCACTCTAATTGCCACTATAAGTCATCAAATTTGCAGCTTTTTTGCAGTTCAAACACCTAAAAATGTAGACTTTGTCAATATTTTCCGCTCTTGTTCATTATGCACTCATAACATAAGAATTGCCTTTTGCTCATCCAAGTGCATTTTTATGAATTGTACATGTCATGCAGGCATGTCAGTTGCAGATGCACCCAAGAAAATAAACAGGGTTCAAAAGCGTTGCTGGAAATACATACCAAACTTGATGAAAACCATAGAAAATTCCCCAAAACCAGAAACTCAGGCTGCTTGATATTTACGTGTTCTGCCAGTTTGAACAATCTTCATGATATCATTTCCTTTTGCAGTTGAAGGTATATTCAAATTGAACGTGCAGGGATATCTGAGTGGTATTGAGAAACTCTAATTTCTCTATATATTTGTTGAATTTGTTTATGACAGCCTTATGTTAAATTCTAGGGTAGATCAAAGCCAACTGAATGCAGATATCATTGTCACGTAAATCAGTTGTTGCTTAACTTCTAGGAAAATTTTATGCTGGAGTAACTTCATTTTTGTTTCAATTTGGGGTTACTCAGATTATACTTTGTTACCATTGATTTGCCCAGCAAATTCCGATGTTCAAATGCTCGTTTAATTAGAACAGAGCATTTTGTGAGTTATCCGCTTAGCAAATCTCGAGAATAATTGTGTGATATAATGAGATAGCTGGCCTTGTGCTTTTAAGTTTTATACAAAGTGCTAGCATCGCAGTAAAGCTAAATGCATCTCCAACAATGCTATTAAGGCTCTGTTAGAGCCCCTGTTTTGGGAGGATAAATTTTGTAATTGCACTTTTTTTTTTTTTTTTAATAAAAGAATGTGTGATTAAAAAATAGGAAAAGTGTTGAGTTTACGTGTAAAATTATTTTATTGAGAGAATGTATGAATGAAAATGAATTTGTGAAAAAATTGGATAATGAAATAAAACATTAAAATTATTATTATATAGAAAGTAAGTTTGGCTCAGATTCATAAAGTAAAGAACATTGAAACTAATGAAAAGTCACAAAAAAATTGCTTGATGATCTAATGCAATACCAAGAGCTTGTTTGGCACGGTTAAAAAAATCAAGTAAAATTAATTTTTTTGATCGTTATTTCACTATTACAACCGTTATTTTTGAACTTCATCTCTAATGGTCAAAAAATCAATTATCAAAATCTCAATCAAACAAGCACTAAGAATAGAATACATACATGTGAGTTAAGTTTACCGTATTTAAGTAATACTCGAGTTACTTTTTCTGGAAATCTCCTACTGTTTGTTTACACGAAGTAGCTTGTGATAAGCGACAATTTGTTATTGGATTGAAAATTATAACTGAATGGTTATCATAGTGAGCCTCTTGAATTTTAACGGCTTCAAACTAGAGTTTTCACCACCAATTCAGTTCAAAAAATCCATTCATTCTAAGATGAAGACCTGTTCACACCACACTTTCTAATAATACTAGGTTACATCTTAATCATATGAAAGGTTCATAACCTTTACACATACATTATCACACTTCTATCTCTAACTTTTTTTCTCATCGTATTCTTATTTTTCAAATTAATATAAATTGTTACTAATTATGATTTCTCTCCAAGGGTCAAGTTGTGATTTTATTGTACATAATACATGATGATTTAGCAAATAGGAACAAGTTTCAATATATTTGTGACCATCTTGGATACCATTTCAAAATGCAAAAGATAGTTTCTATCCAAAGACAAAATTATATCAATCTTTCAGAGAAATATGAGCAAATGAAACTTCACATATCACATGCAACAGCATTGCTCAAATAGAGTTCTCATACAACTTTGTCTAACATGTGATTAGAATGTCCATCCTTTCTATAAATGTCTCAAATTATTACATCTTACATATTAACATTCAAGTCACTGATATCACCAGTCTCGAGACAATGAAGACATTAAAAGTAAACATCAAACCTTTAAATAGCAAAGGCTGACAACATCATCTCCTAGATCCCTGAAAATAAACAATGAAGAAGAAATAAGCGGAAAATTTTCGTACACGTCCATAAATTTACAGCACAAAATTTGAAAGCTCTACACGGGAAAGAAACTTTTTCTCAAGTTTCTGAACAAGTAAAAGGGATGTTAAGCATATGGTGAAATAGAGTTCAGGAGAGATGTTTAATGAGAAGAAAGAAGGACTTACAAAGCTAAAGAAAAGTCATTGCCCAGAAATAAGGCAGTGCATGTTCAAGTATGCAAGTAGTTAGCCGCCATCATAAGTTCCAAGGTCAGCTCAGGTTCAATGTGGAACTCAGTCTCCTTCCCACTGCAGAGTAATTATGAATTCCGTCCAAATTGGCATGTAATGATTTCAAATCAAAATTCATCAAAGGGCAAGAAGGAAAAAATGTATTAAATATGTGACAGCACCCTCAGATATTCTCCATAAACTGAATTCACAAGTTTTCTTGTCCAATTAATTAGTTGAGAGATTTTGTTACTAAACATCCATCCACACATATCTAGAGTAAAAAAAGTATTCATTAGTGATTAATGTGACTGTATAAACGAAAAACCCAAGGCAGCTCCAATCTTTTTACATGTAACCATGAAATTTTCAGGCCACCACCTCTAAACTGATCCAAATTCAGCCATGACATTGCCAGCAAAAGTGTGCACAGATCATCCTGATCAGGGGACACCTACGGCTCATGGCAGAACATTAAACCACGTATGCACACTTAATCACCAGTGAAAGATCAATAAAATGTTTGAAAAGTCTCAACCAAGTAGCACATTTTAGAACTATGAGGTGAGGTGCAATCCTCAATAGAATCTCATAAAACAACAAAAAGTATAAACGATACAAAGTATGCCGGTAATAAATCATAAACATCTTAATAAACCAAATTGATAAAACTAAAAATCTATCAATTAAGTAATAAATAACAAATTATAAAATTAGTAATTCACATAACAAAATTGCAATCTATCACAAGAAATATATAAATTACTAAAGGTCTCCTATATCATAACTGCTAATGGATTTTTAAGAGAACCATAAAAATATTTGATTCATTTATTACCATCCCCGTTATTGTCGGTTTCTTCTTATTCTTTTACCTTATCCATCACTTGCACTGAACATTCCCCTTCCTCTTCTCCTTCCCCTTCCCCTTCCCTTCCCCTATAAGGACAGCAGAAGGAAACAAGACAAAAAATAAATAAATAAATAAAATGAAGTTATGTGCCTTCTACCACTGAAAAGTTGTTCGCTTGCATACAGATTTATAGTACTTCAATTAAGGCACACTTGCTCTCATCTCTTTTCTCCAATTCTTTTTTCGCCCCTAATTTTGAAGGTGTTTAAAATAGTCCATGAAAACATTCTATGGTATAAAAAAAATAATCCAAAAAAGTGAGGCTAGTAATAGGAAAATCCAGAACGACAAATGAGCACAACGTGTAACCTTGGAGCATTTAATAGAAGTCTAATGTGATGCGTGCCTAGAGACATAAGTCTCGGGCAATTCCTAAAATATTGGATTAGTAAACAGGCAAAAGTAGAAAGATGTGAAGGGAATGTGATACTATTAGTGAAGAAAAAAGACATTAGCTGCTAATATACATTTTGTGATGTTTAACATCCATTTTTAGCAAATCCACGTAATAAATTTTAAATCAATATCTTGTGAGACAAAATGTCCTTTTATTTCATATTCTAGTAAGTTCATTTAATACGACAATTCTCCACGGGTAGCTTCACCTATGTGAATCCAAATCAAACGTCATTCATTTTAAGTTTTGAGTTAAGTGTCAGCTGTTACCTACATGTCAATCCGTACAGCATGAATACGTCACAACAGATATTCCAATTATTTTGGGCGTGAGATAGGAAATAAAACACGGGGGCTAAAGTAGCAGTAGGCAGTGCAACAAAGCTACGGCTACTAATAAGGAATTGAGGAGGGGATAATAAATGCTGGGTGAGACTCTAGCTCCCTTCCTCTCCAAGCTTTTTTATCTTTTTTATCCATCTAATAATAATAATAGCAAAACACCAATACAGATTTACTCTGACTAAAACAATTACATAAAAGAATTGTAATCTCATTAACCAAAAGAGATTAAAAAATAAATCAACGGGAAAGTAATTACCTAGCATATTGAAGAGACCAGTAAAAGTACTGGCAAATCTTCTCCAGAATGGTTGTGCTTATCTCTGGAAAAGTCACTTCTCCATGCTCCGTTTCAGCAAAACTCCCTAAAATTCACCAACTAACACAATCTTAAGAACAAAGAATGTCCAATCTACAATATCCAAGAAACTATTTTCAAGACGCAATGAAAACTCAAATCAAATCCAAAATAGAAAACTGAAGCACAAAATATCGTAATTAATTTTCAAAAGCCTAATTTTACAAAAGCTACAAAATCTAAAATCGATGAAATAAAATGAATTGAGAACATCATTTCATAGTACCAGCTGTCCGTCCCAACATAATCTATGGCATGTGGGGATAAAATTAGAAGACTGAAATCAAAGAAAATAAGTTATTAAACAGACAATAAGTAAATAAAATCGAATAATACGTCGATTTCACAAGAAAAACTAAACCCTTGACATTGAATAAGAAACCAAAGAAGTAAAATACGTTAAATTTGCAAATAATAATGAAAATTTCAAAACCCATATATTTATTATTCATGATTTGGAATGATTTTTCTATTCGCTGGTGACCGACCTGGAGAGGTGAGCATGTTGCGGATTGTTTGGGAGACCATTGCGGCCTTTTTATCGATGACGAATTCGAAGCCCTCGGCGCTAATCAGCTTCACCTTGTCTTCCTTCATCTTCACTCGGCACCAAACTACGAAATTTTGACCAAAAATCGTGAAGTATGCAGAGGACTTCAGGTATGGGTAATTTTATTGCCAAACAATTTGTCCCCCCATCCCCAGGCTTCCCAATATAATTGGACGGAAAATTTCCTTTAATTTCATGGAAAAAATAATTTTTGCCAAAATTTTTCTTAATTTATCCTTATTTAATTTCCAGTACATAGTAGTAAATGATTGTTAAAATTAGTAAAGAATTTGAATGAATTAATTTGAATAAAAATAAATGAGAGTTGTTCCATATTTTCAAAAATTGAGAAATTTATGCATTTGGATGATTTAAATAAGTTGACATATTAAGTGGGGAAAATTGAATAAGAAGTATATTAAAGAAGGAACAAAATAAAATATTTTAAATTAGGAAATATGCTTATATATTTGGGATAAGAGAAAAATGAAACTCAATCTATATAATTGGGACGAAGGAAGTAGTTCTTACTTTATATGATTTTTATTTATTTATTTTATTCTCTCTCGTTAAACCATGAATACAAAAAGAGTTGCATGTTTGAAAATTCACTCAACTTATGATGTGATATTCTTACGGATTGCTCACTAAACTTTGGCGGCGTTTGTTTTCCATTTTTGTAAAAATGAGAATGAAAAATATAGTCACTATGGACCTCATACAAGAGATAGAAATTTAAATTTGATGACTTGATATGATGGATAACGGTCATATTTTTCAATTTAATGCGGGAAAGAATGGAAAACAAACAAGAGCTTTATTCTACTTTACAATACTTACTAAATTTTTTTCGTTAGCACTCCATTCATCATCTTAAAAACTCTATTACCTTATTCCATGGCAAGAATGAGGGAGTGTGTGTGTGTGTGTTTTGCAACGAGAAAACAATGTGTGAAGCAAGTTCTATTGGTTGAGTGATTACCATAGTTCATTTTTGTTTTTCTCTTTTCTCTAGTGGCTGTAATCACTACTATCATCAACCTTCGTGGGTGAGAAATCTTGTCACGACTGGAGTATGGTTTTGCTATGGGTCAAGTCAAACTCTATTAGTGTTCGTTTGATAATTTTTTTGAGCCCGAATTTAAGATTTCTTAAAAACTTTGCCTACAAAAATCATTCTCTTTATGAATGGGCCCTTCAAGTATGCTTATTTCGCTTCAAATGTCAAATATCAGTAGTTGGGTAACAAGTCCTCATGGCTTCTTCTCTTGTTCTAAGGTTCATAGTGACTATAGACTCTATCGATTGAAATTCATAACTATGGTAATTAAAAAAGAAAAAAAAATTGAAAATGAACGGCCTTTGAGGCGGGTTGAACGGCTGGATAGAGGGGTATATGGGAATGTCAATTTAGCTCACCGACACGAGTCGCCTTTGACTTGCTCCGAAAAAAACTTGAGTCGGCCCGACCTAAGCTAGCCCTGGGCTCACAAGCCTTTTAAAAAAATAGAAAATGGGAGCAAAAAATGCTGCCTCAAAGGTAGCCCAGCTGCTGCCTTAAAAGGCAGCAATTTATATATTAAAAAAAATGAGCTTACTCGGCTCAACTCGAAAAGGCTCGGATAGAGCCTAAATTTTTTGTCGAGCTTTAGGGTCCAAAAAAAGCTGACACTATTTTACTAGAGTTGAGCCCGATCCTCGAGTTTCGACTTGTTGACATCCATAGGGGTATAAAAGTGAGGGGGTTGGTAGTTGCAATTTCTTTTTTCCATTTTATCTCTTTTTAGGGAATGATAGGAACAACTTTAAAAAAAGTCACCAATATCCACCCAACTTCATACTTAGTATCACATTAGCCGCCCCCGAGGCATAATCTAAAGGTGTGAAAGGATTGGAGTGAAGTAGTCTCAATTTTGCTGACAGCCGCAGTGTGAAAATTTGATTCCTGAGATATGGAATTGAACTTTTTGTGGGCATTAGCGTATGGGTAAACTCTTGTTCTCTAGTCTGTTGAGGTACATTCAGCGATTTACCTCCCTCATGATACTCCAGTGGCGGGATGGTAGGGGCCCTCAAGATTGGGGTTCAACCTTTAGTATCACATTAGCCACCAATTTTGATTTTTCTTCATCATGGTCACCCAACTTCATATTAGTATAACATTGGTTGTCTAATTTGATCTTGTTTCGTCATAACTATTCAACTTCATACTTAGTTTCAATAAAGCATTTCGACAACTTTATTTAACATAATCAAATTGGGGGGTCAATGTGAAGTAAGAAATTGGTTGACCATGGTAAACCAAAATCAAATTGGATGGTAAATGTGATACTAAGTATAAAGTTTGGCTCCCATTGGTGAATTTAACCTATTGTTTAATCGAAAAAATTCTCAATATCAAAAAGTTTTTTGAATGGGGGCAATTGCGCCAGTTGAGCACAATATTGAACCATAAAAAAAGAAAGAGCCTGTTTGATACTATTTTTTTTTTGCAAAAAATGTATTTTGAAATAGTGATTTGATAGAAAAATGTGTTGTTAAAAAATAAGAAAAAAATTTGAGTCTCCATACAATATTATTTTACTGAAGAATGTGTAATTTAAAAAAGAAGATAGAAAATATATTTTGTAATAATAAAATAGAATCAAACAAGGCCAAGAAAATTACGAAATAAATCATTCATTAGTTCAGAATGGAGTCACGAGTAACCTTCCCACAACCCAAATCCCACTCACCTCCATTGAGCCAACGCAAATATGGTGCACTAATTTTTGTCAACTCTCCCGAAACGACGTTACTTTTACAACATTTTTATATGTATTGATTATATCAAGAATCTCCACCACCCGCATAATTCTTTATATTTGTCGCATCCTTTTTATTTTTCTTGAAATTTGTCCTTTGGAAATGGAAACAAACATGTATAAAATGGACAAAAACATGGTGCAGTAACCCACTTCTATTGGCCGTTTCAAGAGACGTTACAGTTCCGTTGTTTCCTCCGTCATTCTTATCATTTCCTTCACACTAATTTTCCTGTTTCTTTTGAATTTTCACGCACCGTATTCACTCCGATCTCTTTTTTACGGTAAGCCATGATGATCCATTTAACATTTTTATGTTCTTATTTATACATTCTTTTTTTTTTTTCCCTGCAAAGTTATTCATGTGTTTTTATGTAAGAGTTTCTTTCCTCTTATGGGTTTTGAGTTTTTATTGAGATCTAAATATATAGATCTGAATGTTATGGATCTAATTTTGTTCTTCGTTTCTGGTTTTTGTGTGTGTGTGTAGGTGTGAGGGATTACGGGAAAAAAAGTTGAGAAGGATGGCAAATAGGGTGGATCATGAGTACGATTACCTGTTTAAGATCGTTTTGATCGGGGATTCAGGAGTTGGGAAATCAAATATTCTTTCCAGGTTCACCAGAAATGAGTTCTGTTTGGAGTCCAAATCCACCATTGGAGTAGAGTTTGCCACCAGGACTCTTCAGGTCAGCATTATCTTATTCTATACCGTTCTATCTGGGATTTTTTTTTTAATAAATTTTTTTTTATCATCATCTAATATACAAGGAACGAGATAGACTGATATACAAATTGTTAAGTGAGTAGTGTTATTTTTTAAGAAATTTGTATGTGTGGGGCTGACTCTGTGTGTGCGCGTGTTCATTATTGAGTGCACTTTGGGTGGTTGGGATACGTTTGATGGAGAAATTTGTTAATTATTGTACATAGATTGACTGATTATGGTTTATGATTATGATTTTTCGCTTAAATGAAACTAGTAAAATGTGGGCATTGGCTTGTTAAGAGTTGAAAGCAACAATTTCGTCTATTCAATTTCAGGTTAATTTGAAGATGCCCACTTCTATTATATATATGCATACTCTTCCGTGGTATCAATTTATACTGTGCTAAGTTGCTATGGTTCAGTTTATATCTATCTCGATCAAGGTGTTTGCGAATGGGGAAAACCTTGGAATGTCTATAATGTGGTTATTTTCCTTCCATGCCTTTTGTTACTGTCGTAGATTACGACCTACAGTTTCATCTGTTGCCATTTTATTCTAGATAACATTTGGGTTATGGATCAAGGCTATTAAAATTTCATACCACTATGCCCGTATGGTCTTACAGAATTCATTGAGCCAAGGGTATGTTTGGTATTTTTTATTATATTATGCTGCACAATATAACACAACAAGTGTTTTTTTTCCTTCTTTTTCCTTTTTTTACTATGGTACTATTTGCTATTTTATCCTCCTTACCAAACGTATCACGAATGATTTCTGCAAATTCAACTAATAGTCAATAGTTCAAATTATAAACTCAGTACCAAGTCATTTAGACTCATGGGTGGAAACATTTACATGGCAGCTACCTACTTGTTCAGCCAGTTTTTTAGTCATCTAGATTGTGCTGCTTCTTGTTTCATAGCTCCGTGATAGAGAGCACAGCAGGGTCATAAAAATACTAATGCTGGTAATATATGATGCCAGATAGAAGGAAAGACGGTAAAGGCCCAGATATGGGACACCGCAGGGCAGGAAAGATACCGAGCTATTACAAGTGCTTACTACAGAGGAGCTGTTGGTGCACTCCTTGTTTACGACATAACAAAGAGACAAACCTTTGACAATGTCCAGAGGTGGCTTCGGGAATTGAGAGACCATGCCGACTCTAACATTGTCATCCTGATGGCTGGAAACAAATCAGACCTGAACCATCTCCGTGCTGTTTCGGATCAGGATGGTCAGACCTTGGCTGAGAAGGAAGGACTGTCGTTCCTCGAGACTTCAGCACTGGAAGCACATAATGTTGAAAAGGCTTTTCACACTATTTTGACTGAAATATACCACATTATTAGCAAGAAGGCATTGGCAGCCCAAGAAGCAGCAGCAACCACTGCACTCCCTGGTCAGGGTACTGCCATCAACGTTAGCGATTCATCTGGAAACATGAAGAGAGGCTGCTGTTCTACTTGAGTTGAGTTTCCAGTTAAGGATAAACTTTTGTTCCTAATTTCCCGTTTCGTTCTATTTTTCCTTCTTCTGGGGCAAAAGGGTCTTGTAGAATACTTTCTTAAGTCAAGTGGACGGATAATGAGCTTGTGAATGTTCAAAATGTTTAGTGTAGGCTATATATATATGTCATTTGGAAGTGGCTGATACTGGTGATGTTGGTTCACTACCAATCAACCATCTTCATCTGAAAGGATTTGGGACAAAAGAGGTGGTATTTTCAGTGTAGTATCTCTGTTTGGATATCTTCTACTTCAACTTTTCTCTGTATCAAATAGGAATTTAAATATTTTTTTGCCTCTATTAATCTCCATTTTTCTGAACTTTTACTACCAGAAGCTTAGGATTGGGAGTATATTATATTCTTTCATTGACACCATGATAGTGTAATCTCCATTTTAATGCACAATGCAGGGTTTTTAATTTGCAGTTTTTGAAGTTAGCATAGTGGTTCCATGGGGTCAAAACAAAGAAGTTGCTTTAAGACGGACGTGTTTGCTAAAGAAAAGTAGAAGTATCATTTAGTTCAAAATTTTAATTTTGAAAGTTTTCACATTCTTTTTCTTTTGAATACTTTTACTTACTTCTAGGGTTAGCTATAGTGGAATTTATTCAAGCTAAGGATTCCTGGTATAAAGTAGTGGAGAATATGTTTACCATGAAATGAGCAACACAATTGATGATGCTTTGGTCAAACATCTTGCTCAAAAGGGAGCCTCTCAAAGTTGATTATGGTTCAAATTGCAAACTTTCAACTGGGATTTTCAGCCAAGGAAAAAGGAGATTCTGCACCATACTTCTGCTATTAATTTTTCTCTCATGGATTATCTCCACACTACATATTTTTAATATTGTGATATTGCAATTCTTATGCATTATTTCTTATCATTGTTGTATGATATTATAAATTTAATATTGGTATTACATATGTAGTGCTGAGGTGGAAGGTGTGGTGTTGATATACACTTGATTATTTTGAAGGATTTAAACCATCATGATGTTGGTTTATTATTATTAAATTTCAGGTTTAATAATATTATAACTCCTATGCATCATTTCATGGTGTCCATGATTTGGTAATAATTCATTTGCATCATTTCTTAGTGTCAATGACTTGGTAAATAATTGTTCATGCTTTTAAAATGACCCAATTTAAAAATAGTAAAAAACATGTACATAGAAATATACCAATTTAAATTTCTATATGCATTCATCAAGTAATCATCCGTCGTTATCTACAACTTGTACAGCATTAAAAAAAAAAAAAAAAACAAAAACAAGTGAAACTTCTTAGACCTAACTTGAGAACGAGCACCTGGTTGGTCTTATATCTAACATGAAAAATCAAAGTATGCGCTCGTTTGGATTGTATATCCGTTCGTGCTCCAATATCTGTGTAATTTTCTCGAATATCAGTGGTTTTAAAGCAACTTAATTACATCCCACATTTGTTATTTCTTAGTTTTCTATCTTTTATTTGTTAAAAATCAAGTGCTCGATATCATTCTCAATATATACGTCATCCTCACAACGTTGACCGTGCAATAAAGCAACTTAATTGCATCAACCAAGGGCTGGGAAGTAAGTTGTTATATATTTGATAACATTTTTGTTGACTCCAGAATACGTTGTCAACAGATACCGGACCCACTCGCGCACATGTAGGTCTGATCTAACATGCTAAGACATATGGACGGTCTAGAAATAATAGCAAAAGGGCGCGTGGGAGCGACTCAAAGACGCGGAGGAGAACGTTCAGAATCCGACTAGATGTTTGTATAATGATTGTACAATAATTACCAATCGATCTTTGTAGAATGCGAGTATGAATTCATGTATGTTGCAAGAGAGTAAAATATAAAGAATGTTGTATTTGTTTTTAGTGTTGAATCTTGCATTACCTTATGAGAGGTGTATGGGGGAGTATTTATATTATTACAAGTTAGATCGTAGCCCTCGGTTGGAAGTACAAGTGGCATCATCTCGTAAGCTTACATGTCAAAGTATAGACATCACACTTGACTTCCTAACCCATTACACATTTATTAATCGGCGGTGGGTATTGACAAGACAAGACACTTGCACTCTATGATGGGTGTCCCATCAATCAATCAGGAAGGATTCTTGTGTAAGACCAGATCTCTGGGGAGGAGTGCTGTTTAGAGCCTCAGGACCTCGGAGAAGATTGGTTCTCGGTGGGAAGGGACTCGGCTACAAGATCACCTCGGCATATTAACTTCGGCGTCAGCACTTGGGCCACATCTAGCGTTGTTATAGTATGTTGGTCGACTCCTCTTGGCCTGGGGGCCTTGGAAAAAGATGCTATGTGGTTAGACTGAAGTGGGCCATGGCCTCAGTGGGTAGGCCAAGTATGTCAACACGTAACAATAGTCTCCCAAGTCCAAGAATGGTCATTTATGTAATGCGTGAACTTTTATTGTGGTGAAGTGTATAGGGTAAAAATTGAAAGAATTTTTTTACCTTAACTAATAGTCCCCCAAGTCCAAGTATAGATATTTATATCATGGTTAGAGTTGAAAGTGGTGGTGATGCTGTGATTGGAAAAGATGACCAAGAAGCCAAGGTGGTGAGTGGATCAAACTTGATGAGGCTTGTAAATATGTGGCTGAACTTTCAAGGCTTGTGAATATGTGGCTGAATTGCCGAGGCTTATGAAGATGTGGCTGAACTACGAAGAAGTAAAAGAAGAACCTGTTGAGACAGTGAAGTGGATCGAACCTGCCGAAGCGATGATTGTCTTCGATGCTTGTGCCAATGATTTGATGTTTTGCGCATTTTACCAAGAAAAGGCAGCCGAGCCATTTCGACTTCCAAGGCATGTAGGGCTGCTGCATTGAATGTGCAATGATGGTTACAGCTGGGGCTTCTAGAAGGAAACGCGTTTGGAGAGGTGCGTGAGGAGCACGTTTGAATTGAAGGCATTGACTTTGAAAACGGTTTGAATTCTAGCCCTCGGATTTGGTCTGTAGTGAAGGGCCCATATTTGATGAGCCTTGATCTGATGGCCAGTGTTCGTCCTGGACTTGTATAAAAGGCAGGAGACTCCCATTTTTTGACTTTTCTATCTGTGCAATTCTTTGCGTTCTTCAAAAATATCATTTTTCGACATTGAAGCTTTGCTCCGTTCCCCTTTTTGGGCATCATTCAGTTTCCTTAGTTGTTTGTGTAGGTATTTCTTGTGAGAATAACTTGTTTTGCGATCTTTGTCCATTTTCCAAACTTTTTCTGATATGGAGTCCACTTCGGGTAGGGGCAGTCACTGTCGCATCGTTTGGGGAAAGGGCTGTTCGTAGGGGGGACTCCGAGGTCGAACATTATGCTATGATCGAGGAGCCCATAAATTACGAGGAGGAGTGGGGTGGTGCATCTAGGATACTCTTAAACATGACCCAGAAAAGGTTGGGGGAGATAAGGGAGAGAATGTTAGTCCCTGAGGTCGATGAATGAGCTTGTTATCCGAGGCCCGGATGTGTCACAGTTAGTGAATAACTGTTTAAGGTGGGTATGTGTCTTCCTCTGCACCCCTTCTTTAGGGCAGTGCTAAGGAATTTTATGTTGTCGTCGTCCCAGGTTCTACTGAATGGGTGGAGCCAATTGGTGGGGTTTTACTTCCTATGGAAGGAAGTATCGATGGGGGAGGATATACCTTTGCAAGTCTTCCAGACCCTCTTCCAGCCGAGAGTCTTAGGCAAAGACGAGTCGAAGGGGTGGTAATACATTACTCCCTAGGGGTCGCACGCCCCTTTGTGGTAGGATTGCCTTCTTCCATCAAGGGGTAGAAGGAGTCGTGGTTCTGGGTTCGAGGCAACTGACAGGCAGTAGTTGGGGACAAAGCCTTGGCTTGCACGGTACCGATCCAGTACTACAAAACTCGTGAGTCCCCCAGCCTAAGCTGTACTTTGCATTCTGCTTGAGCTTTCTGAAATTTTTTGCTAACTGTTGTCGCATGTTTTGTAGACTTGACTACGAGGTACCAGCAAGTGCCCATACTTTGTGATGAAAAAGTTTGCTTATTGATGTCGACTTCTGATCTATTGTTCCTTTGTGTTGCAAATAAGTTCAAGAGGAGAGAGTACCCCGTCCCTGACATGGCCACCATAATGAAGACCACTACTACTGTTGGGGCCAAGCCTCTGAAACTAGGATCAAGCGGGACAAAAGAGGTGAGAGGTAAAGTGGAGCGCCTCTCCAAGATTAATACCTCCTAGGCTACTGAGGAGGAGACTCCTCAGAGGGAGAAAGGCAGGGAGCCTCGGGGAAAAGAGAAAATCCTTGAGGACTCCCAGAAAAAGAGGAAGTTGGTCCACCTCACCAGCTCTTCGGGGAAGTTTGGGACTTCAATTTTCCAAGCTAGCAAGGAATCCCGACCGCCGAAGCTCATGGACTTTGCCATGAAGGCGGTGAAGGTGGAAATGGTTTGGAAGGTCGAGGCTGAGGAGGCTGCAAAGAAAGCAGCGAGGTCGGCTGCGGTGAAGGCGGAGGAGGAGTTTGCGAGGCAGAAGCCCATCAGGACCCAAGGAAAATCCCCTAACTTCTTGGTTGGGCGTGACGAATAGCTTGCCTCGGCATTGTTGGAGGCTCTTTCGGAAGAGGTCCAAGGTGCTGTGTTCGTGTGAAACCCGCAAGCATATGAGATCGTTGTACAAGTAATAAAATTTGTGAGTTGAGAGTATCGTTTCCACGAGGAATAAGGTTTAATATTTAGTTAAGTAGCTTTTACTAAACTCGAAGTAATATGAAATAAAAAAAAAGTTGTGATTTGTATGTTTTCTATGCTAATCTTAAATTAAGAAAGCAAATAAAATATTTATTTAATATGTGAATATTTGTATTAGAAATGTGAATCTCCCTATTGCCATTTAATTCAACTCTTAATTTATAATCTAGTAAATTCATGCATTCAAGACAATCGATAATCCACTTTTATTCAATATTCTTTCCCAAGATATATTAAACCTATGTTTAACACGACTCGATCCTATTCCTAGTCCGAATTCATATGAAAAATATGCATTGATTCACATGATATATCACACATGATTGCACATGTCATAGATATTATTCCTAGCACCTATTGTCCATGTGTTGATTTTACCGTGTTCTAGACTTATTGTGAGTATTTCTACACTACAACAAGTAACTTACTATCTAATTGATGATCAAGCAATTAAATAGTACAATGGGAATGCAAAACCAATCAAGAAAAAATCATCAAATACTAAATTAATTGTCTTGAATTAAAATAAACAAACGATAGGGTCCATTATTCATCCAATACAATGAAAAACTAGTTTAGCATATT